GAGGATATCTCAGGCCATTCAAGAAAGGCGACTAAGGTGGTTTGGACACGTTTTCCGTCGTCCGCTCCACGAGCTTAGTTATGCTGTCCTCGACCCGGCGCCGCATCCCATCCGGAAACGTCGAAGAGGAGGGCAACTGAGGACTTGGCTCGACACCGTTCATGAAGACATGAAAGCAGTTCTTGGACCCTCTATCTTCGGTTTCCGTCGCTGGAGAAGAGACTGAGTAGAGCTCTCCAGATCCGCTGCCGCCAATCGCCACGCGTGGAGAGGCACCGTTCGTGACATCATTGAGGCCGGCTAGATCAGACATGATCACGGCCATAGGATGTACAAGTAAGTACATGTCTCGCTAGAACGCAACACTATCCTAGACATGCAGTGACTTTTCTCTGTCAAACAATAGCCTGCTGGCAATACTATCTACCTACACTACTTACCGCTACGGCTGCTGTCAGCGTCCAAGAACTGAGACCCCAGACAAAGCGGGACAAGTGATTTCCGTCAGCGGTCGGTGAACGTTCATCAACGAGTGTCAATATCTCCCAACCTAAACCGGTAAGACAACGAGCTCTTGGCTCAATGGTGAGGGCGTTAGAATCTAATCAAAATGTTCCAGCCTCGGACGATGCACCACTTGGGGTTGGGTATGGGTGACTGATGATGACAAATGAGCCAGAAACATAGCTTCGTTGTCTTTGCGCGGACTACTAGCTGCTGTGCGGCTGCTGTCAGGGCCCGAGAAATGATACCCAAGGCAGAGTGAGACAAATAAGTTATGTTAGTCGTCGGTGAACGTTCATCAACGAATTTTAATAGCGAGGCCACTCGAGCCTGCTCAGAGGTCAACTCAGGACCAAATTGCGCTCCTTGGGCCTCTTCAGACACGTCGTAGCACAGGCGGTCATCGAAGATTACGTGAATCACAATCCACTTCCGAAAATGCTGATCATATGCATCCACATACCATTTTTGCAACTATTACTGTTGATACCATTAATATTACAAATTTTTATCAAGCCTGTATTTTCCACTACTGATACCATAACTACCCTTAGAGATAATTCCAAGAAAATTGTTAGCGCCAACTCTGTCATTATTATTTGTATTAATACTTATCCTATAAATACGAATGTTCTCAATGCTTGTAATATAACCCACTGCAATGGTAACATTGAACCCACCACTATAAGCAAAACTATTCTAGAAATAATATACCTTTCTTTAGATCCTTGTATAATCAAAATAACCCTCGTTGTTGTTGCTGGTAACAATATTACTAAGTCTAGTAGCTCTCCCATTACTGATAATAGTGTGGTTATTATCACCAATGACATTAATATTAATAGCAATAGTACTGCCGATATCATCCCTTTCAATACTATTTCCACTACCGCCACGATTCCAATCCAGCCATCAACGTAACCCTATCAAAAACGTACTTGCTACTACTATTACGACTATTACTACAGCGACTAGCAGTAGTGTGAGGGTAATTATTATAAATAGTAATACGAATTTTGCCTCGAAAGCAAACACTGTGCAAAAATGACAGGCAGAGAGAGGGAGGAGGTACCTTGACAATTCTGCGAAGTAAACCACCGTCCTGACAATCTCAAGCTCAGCAAGATGGGCATACTGACAGACAAGAATCCCTATCCAGGAGAAACGGATGACGAGGTCCTCCAGAATGGCACCGTAGTAGTAGGCGCGGTACCGATAAACCAGTTCATCCCTCAGACCAGGATTGTCCTTGGCTTTGAAGTCCAACAGGCCCCAGTCCACAATGACATCCCATAAGAACATGTAGGTAGCGTTCACTACGTAGGAAATCACCATCAGCGTGATTGTAAGCGGGTCTAAAAATCAGTGTAGGCAAGGAGACAGAAAAGCTGATAGTAAAGG